ATTCCAGTTGTTTGACATAAACAAATATGGCACCTCCCCTACTGCGCTGTCGTTCCAGTAATCTGCTGTTGCGTAATCAGCCCACTGTGATGTAAGCCACAGGTCAGGATTTGACACCGTTTAAGCCTTACTTTTTATTCTCCTTCACTCTTTTAAAGCAGCCGGGAGCAGGGTGTGTCAGGACAGTCTACCTCCATCATGGTGGAGGGCCTTCAGGTGTCGCTGCCCTCCTACGAAGAAGCCGTGTACGGTGCAGGCGGCACTCCCGTGCCACCTCCTGAGTCTCGGGTTCAGATCGTGATGTCGGAGGGTTTGAACGAACCTCTAGAACAGGCTCAGACGAGTTACAGTTTCCCCTCCACCTCGACTGCTGCACCCTTGTGTCACGCAGAGACTGTATTGGTTCACCAGGTGCCCTCTTCCTCTTCTCCATCCTCCTCATCCTCTCGCTCCTGGGCTGCTGAGCAGCCTGGTGCCGCTGCGCCTCTGCACCGCAGGCAAAGCAGCGAGAGCAGCGATCAGCACAGCTTGCTTTCAGTCACCTCTTGCGAAGACTATGGTGATGGTGAGTGAAATTGCAAATCTATATGTAGAGGTGATGTGTGGTTTCATTTGTGTGGATACTCGACGAAATGGGCGTTTTGGCTTAAATTTCTGAAGGAAAAAAAAACATTTTACGATATTAATATTATTAAACAATATTTTACAATCTGAAGTAGCCTGATCTTATAAAATAATTTGATATTTTAAAATACGTGTCTTTTTTTAGATTAATAAACAACATTTCACTACCTGAACTAACATGGCCGTGTCATTAAAAAAAAGGTTCAATTATTTGATATTTTGAGATTTATCCATTTCTTTACTAAAATCTCAGAACAGTTGTATCACCAGACTTTTTGCCGCTATGCTTCCTCAAAACGATTAAAGTGAATTTTATTCTTATTTCAAAACACACTCATCATAGACGAGGTGTATTCATGTTTTTGTTTTTGTGTGGATTGCATTTTAAAAGTATTTTCTCATTTCTAAAAAATTAGCTACATGCCATTGACCGTTTTTTTTTTTTTTTTTTTCATGTCTTCTCTTCAGATATTCCATTGCTAAAGGAAGCCTGAGTCTGAGTACAGCCCTCTCCCTCTCTGTCACCGCTGGCCAGCACTGTAACCCCTAAAGCTTCTCACCAAACACTTACCCCACACCTACCCTTCAGAACGCAGCAGTAAATAAGATCCATCAGCTGTCCCTCTGCCAACAAATCGCCCGGCCCTGGGGTCTACAAGCTGCGTGGCCCCCATGGAGTCTGGCAGCTCTCTTGACAGGAAGGACTCTTGACAGGACGACCCCTCAAAGGGATGCGCAAATGCTCGAGTTTAACACTTTTCTTGCAGGTGCGCTAATAATCAGTTGCACTCACAGGCTTACCTCGCCATGACGAGGATTCTCTTATTACAGATGCATTAAGATTACGTTGTGGACCTCTGCTCCGTCAAGACTGTGACCCCGTGCGAAGGGGAGAGTTCAAGGATTTGCTAAGCCAGGCCCTTTTCTCTTTGATGCTGCATGTTCTGTGCAATTTCTATTTTCTGTTTCATTCTACACGCTTACACACAGGAGCACGGCACAATCGAAGCATGACACATAGCACCATCTCGACACATTCCCTTGTGCGAGACGCAGGGTTGAACTGATTTGCATTGTACTGTATTCAAATACATGCTTGCCTTTTTATTTGTCAAAAAGTACCTGTGCTGTGCTCTGCGTGCGTGCGTGTGTGTGTGTGTGGGTTTCTGATGCCTGTGACTGTAGCTGTTGTCATTCGAAGAGGGCTGAAGTATCATCTAGGCTTCTTTTCCCCAAAATAGGAAACTTTTTCAATACCTCCATTTTCTAATCGCAACGTTATTTAACTAGGATGGATGTTCCTTGTCCACATGTCTGTTTGTCCAAAGTGAGGGAGACATACTTTCAGAGAAATAATTCAACTTTATTTCTTCCTTTTAAAAGCAAGTATAGCGCTCTCATGTTTATGTGTTGCACTCACAAGCAAAGAAAACTTCAATGATTTTTTTTTTTTTTTTAATCACTTGTAAGTTCTATTTCCAAGAGGACTTTGTTGGGTGTGGACTAAGTTCATTGCTGGGCTGTACCTTATTAGCTTTGACTTAGACTAATAATATTTGGAATATAATTTAAGCTAGTTTAATTCACTTTTAATTTGTTAAATGCTACATTATTACATTTGAATGCTTTGCAAAGCCAGCTGTGGCTTCTCATCTTAAAGATGACTATCAAAGATAGAAGCACCTTCTTTTAAGTTTTCTTAATAAATCATTTGCTATTAAGATGGTATTTGAAGAGAATTCAACAGATATCCCATCAGATCTTAAATAGGTTGTGCATTTTTTTAATCCACTGTCTAGACTCAGCTCAAGAAAATGGCCGTGTTCCTCACTCATAATGTTCTTTTGGCAAATGGGCATTTGAAAAACCAATGAATCTTTTATTTTAACTGCTTTTCGTTTTGCATTTTTTCATCCTTCCTCATTGAACATTGCCACCTCATGTGTATATCCCCTGTGTGGTTCATGCAATATATATATATTATATATATATATTGTGTGTGTGTCTGACTTTGGAGAGAGAGGGCAGTTTGTTTATCTGCACATCCTTAGTTTTGTGTTCCTGGCTTATTTTTGTAAATGTATTTGCATTTTTTCATGCAAACTGAAGGCAAAATATTACTGCTGCCTTAACTTGTACATTTTTGACATTTCTCACTTTGTAATCACATTTCTTCTGTCTCACTGGCTTTATGGTAATTTGTCTTCAGTTTCCTTATGGCCTTACTTTTTTTTTTTTTTTCTATGCATAAACTTGTCTTGTTGAATTTAAGACGTAGGGTTTTACTCCTTTGGAGGATGTGACAAGATTGTCCACCCGAACTTCCTCAGAACTTTTTTTTTTTCAGTGATTGTGAAATATGAACATATGAGCTTTTTTTGTTTATCTGTTTCATTCAAAAGATTTTTTAAGCTTAAAAAAAGAAAGGACGCAATTTAAAAAAAAAAGGATGTCCAGGATGTGTGTGAAACACTGTTGTACGGTGTTTTTCTGCAAATGTAATTTAATTTGACTCATCCACCCAGCTCCCCCATCCCCATTAAATTTTTTTCCCCTCTGTACATTGTTGTGGGTGTGAAGATAGTATTTTAATATTTGTATAAAGTTTAATTTAATTCTACAGTGTGTATATAACTATTTCTAATTAAAGCTTTCATTTGAAGTGCACCAGAAGTTTGGTGTTTTTTATGTTATGGTTCACTTTGAATACTTTTAGGTATATTATATATCTACATTCAGTCATATGACGAAGGATTCCATTGTTTCCAGGGTAAAGTGCAGATACCCTTAGTAAGTAACAGAGAATGTCTAATTGAAGAGAATTGGCTTTATGCACAGCTGCACTACTTCCTGAACTTTAGCCAGCTCCTTGTTTCCTGTCTGCCATTATTGGCCAAATTTGATTAATTCAGGTGTGTCTGATTATTGTTGCCGTGACTACTGAGGTCAGACACACATGAATTAATCAATTTGTCCAATAATGGAAGACAGGAAACAAGGAGCTGGCTGAAGTTCAGGAAGTAGTGCAGCTGTACATAAAGCCCATTGGCACTGGCTGGTTACTTCCGGGTTCTGGACTGGCTGCAGTAACACGTCTCTGTCCATGCGGGGGCGCTCGCGGTCGAGTGCAGAATGAATGGGAGTCAATGGGGTTTCACCCCCATAAATCCACTTTTCTTTTCTGTAATTTTTTGTCAAGTAATTTGAAAGTTGCATTCAAAAGGGAGGGCTAAAATAACACAACCAGCTGAAAATTGCATTTTTAAGTTCACTTATCTGTTCTAAAACTCCGTTCAAAGATGTGATGACGTCACACAATAGCAGAATGCTAGCGTGTACCGGCCAACAACACCCTAACCTGTAAGAAATCAAAAGGACATAATTACTCGTTCATTCGACTTTTGGCCTATAATATATATTGAACTTGCGTAATCAACAATAAAATCTATGTTAATTTAACGACAAGCATGTGAAAGAGACACTTTTAGCCGTTTAGCCCCATAGACTCCCATTCATTCTGCTCTCGCCCGCGATCACCTCCAGTGGGATTCTAATGGAACTGCAACCAGGATGATACACAACGGGCTAATAGGAAGTGCCAAGGCTCTCCGTTAGACGGGCTCTGTTAGTAAGTAAGTAATGTTGTGCGTTACTGACATCTAGTGATTGATATTGGAAAGTAGGAATGCATACTAAGATTCATTTCCACGAATCGGTTCTTTTGATAATTCTTTCAAAGAACCGATTTAATCTGAATAATTCCTTTCCGAATCTCACAGAGGCGGTAATTTCTGTGCGACGGAGAGTCGATTCGTTATGGCGCAATCGTTAGCCTATTTTTACAAAAACTGCTTCTACGGGGCCATAACGTAAAATACAAGATAATGGAGCCTTTAATACATGTCATGTTTTTTTAGAAATAAATAATGGACAAATGGAGTCTTTGGACGCCTCAGATGTAAAGTTATTAGCTGTCAAAGTGACGCCAAAATGAATAGATTACCCCCTTGGACGTGAGTTATTCAGTGGTTCAGTCTGATTCGATTGTGAATCACTCTGATTGGTTTAGTGAACCGGTTCAATTGGTTTAATGAAAACAGCCGATTAAAGTACAATTCGCTGCAGTGTGGATGCTATTTAAATAATAAATAAACATGGCAGATCAGATTATTTATCAAAGTAAATAACAATAATAATAATATAATAATAGAGAGTAATATTGACACTACAGCTGTTTCGTTTCTAAACAAAATAGGTAAAAAAGTACCATGTTTTGTTGCATCATTATATTTCACACAGTTTAAACTAAATGATCTTTTTTCAAGTAGATACTGCATCTGACACAGTAGTAGACCGCAGTGTCTGAACTGATCTCAGATCAGTGTTTACCATCGCGCGCATCTCGCGGCTCTACACTGACTGACTCCATTTTGTGTGAAAGGGATTGTTCGCACACGCACTCATTCAAAGGAGAAACATTAAACAAAGGTATGTACATGAGACAGTGCATCTTCACACTTATCTGAATTCAGCTTTTAAGGGTTGTGTTGTTTAACCGACTGTTTTGTGTAACGATTCGCCAGTTGATGAGTTCTCTTTGGATGTGGGTTGTGGTTCTTGAAGGCCCTCTAGCCTTCGTCGGTGTTTGACGCTTGCATAATAACAGCATCGCGATTTTAGTTGTTTTTACCATGTTTGCATTTGTTTTAAGGAAGATGAGTGGTTGTCGTATTTTCATCGGTCGACTAAACCCCTCTGCTCGGGAGAAGGACGTCGAGCGGTTCTTCAAGGGTTATGGAAGAATCAGAGACATTGACCTGAAAAGAGGCTTCGGATTTGTGGTACGTTTTGCCTTTCGTAAACAATTTCAGATATTGCAACAGTATATGCTGTTTGTGTTGCATTGTAATTAAAGTGACTTAAGCTCTTGTGATGTGTGCATTTAGGTGTCTAACCTTAATAATATATTAATAGCACATGTGCTGTGTTTCAAAACTACAATGGACAACGTTTTTAAATAGAAACCTCTCCTGGCTTTGAGACAGCCACGTAATGAAATGTTCATAATTTCAGATTATTGTTATATAATTGTTATTTTAATACTATATTTTCAAATTCACGACCATTCAAAAGTTTTGGAGAACACAAAAGCTGAATCCATTTGATCAGAAATACAGTAAAAACAGGAATGTTGTGAAATTTTAAATATCTATTTTAACATTTTTTTTAATGGTAATTTATTCCTGTGATGGCAAACCTGAATTTTCAGCAGCCATTACTCCATTCTTCAGTGTCACAAGATCCTTCACAAATCAGTGATGTTGTCTTTCCTGTCACTTTTAATCAATTTAACACGTCCATGCTGAATAAAACTTAATTTTTTACTGACCCAAACCTTTTGAAAGGTCATATAGCCTATATTATCCAATATTATTATTTTCAAATGAAATTGCAAGTTTGCAACAATAAACTGACCAATTAACAAATGTCCAAATAATATAGGAAATAATTTTAGATTACCAGAAATTAGGAGAAATAAATGAAAGCTCAAGAATTAAGTGCCTATTTTTTTCAGGAATTTGATGATCCAAGAGATGCAGAGGATGCTGTTTATGAGCTTGATGGGAAAGAGCTCTGCAACGAGAGGTATAAATGAATTCAGTGCCTATTTGAATAGTGGTTTTCAGTTCACAACACATTAGCCGCTTTCCGACCAAGTAGTTACAGGAACTTAGTTATAGGAACTGTCCACTTCTAAACAGTTCTAAGAACCACTCTCCCCCAAACTCGGATGTGCTGCTTGCGTTCGCACTGGCCAAGTGGCCATAGGAACTGATAGGAGGGGTAACGCAAGCACGGCGACGGGCTTTATAGCGTCATCACTAGACGTAGCGCGTAGCACGGCTTTTGCAATGTTCCTGTTCTGCCTTGCCGGGACCAACGGAGAACGAACGGCGGCGTTTAAAGATTATGCTTGAGTTCTGTACAGAGAAACACAGAAGACGAAGGCTCCAGCGTAATATGATATTAAGTAATATGATGGAAGAAGATAAAAGAGCAGAGCGCAGGAGGCAAACAAAATGACGGGTAAGTTTAGCTATTATTAGCAATCAGCTGGTTGAATGCGTTATGTTTGTCTTAATCCTCGTTGTAATGTTTTGCAGTGGGCATGACTTATAAGTTTAACCAATCAACGTAGACCTAGGGAAAGGGAACTAAAAAAGTCCTTGCTCTAGACTAGGTACTGAAAGAGTTATAGGAACTACAGTCTGAGGAACTAAAAAATCCCCAATTTAGTCCGGTCGGAACACAACGAAAAAAAGGGTTATAGGAACGTTAGGTTCTAGGAACTGCACAAGTCCCTCCGGTCGGAAAGCGGCTATAGTTACATATTAGGGACTTGAGACTTAGCTGATACATGTATGATTACTTTTTTCCTGCAGAGTGACTATTGAACATGCCCGTGTCCGCCTGCGTGGGGGCCGAGGTGGTCGTGGTGGCGGTGGTGGTGGAGGTAGTGGTGGTGGTGGTGGAGGACGTTTCCCTGGTCGGTATAGCCGTGGCTCCCAGGACAGCCGGAGGTAGGGGTCAATCTTTGTTAAATACCTTTGCTCATGTGCTTTTATTATTATTGCATATTAAAGAAATGAATACTTTTATGTAGAAAATATGCTTTACGTTGATTAAAAGTGACAGCAAAGTCATTTTCACAGGTGAGGTTGTGTAAACATACAATGTTCAGTAATAATTCTTAACTGTTTCACCTGTCAGAAACCCTCCACCGATGCGCACGGAGAATCGTCTCATTGTGGAGAATTTGTCGTCAAGAGTCAGCTGGCAGGTGAGCATTCATCAATTACCTGTCATGTTTGGGGGAGTCAGTTGATTTCCCAAACACTGCAAATAACACACAAAAAGGAAAAAAAGGAATCCTTCATGGATACTTAGAACATGTAGAGTTAAGTTGATAAATGTAAATCAATGGCAGAAGTTGTCATTCTGAGATTACTTTCAAATTCAAGGTCATATAATACTGAGGAAACAGTAAGGTTAAGTCACTTTGCCTCTGTTTTAACCAATTGTTCACCCCTCTATTTGCCAGCCTGACTGTTGTGTCGTATGGAAGAGCTCGCTAATGGTGGAGTTAACCCCTACAGGGTCCCTCTCTCTGGTTAAGCCACTCCCATTGTGTCCCACGCCTAGTTGACCTCCGCCGATCGCACGAGAGCTCTCTGAGAGTGATGCCCTCTCGCTCTAGACGCAGCGGCTGCCGCTACAAAGCGCGGTTTGTGACGGTGCCGAGCTGAAAGAGAGAGAGAGACAGAGATTGAAAGCGAGAGATCGAGAGAGAGAGGGGCAGAGAGAGAGCGAGTGAAAGAGAGAAAGAGAGCGAATCTCAGTCAATCGAGAGGTTCGGTAATTTGAGAGGCTTCGATCGATATTCTCACCCACCCTGCTCTCTGGTGGTCCCACACACGTGACAGAGGATAAAACAGCTCGATGGGTACGTTCCCAGGTATTAGTCTATAATCTCTTCCTCGCTGTTTACGCTCGGTGCCCTTGAGGGGACGGCACAAATAGGGTACGATCGATGGAGGGAGGCCTAGTGCACTTCCACTCTGTATGCACTTGTGTTTTGGTAAGAATGCATTTGCCACGTAAATGTACATTTTACTAAATGTGGGGCCCTTTTTTTTTACGAGCCGCTCCACATAGTTGCTCTGCTAGTCTTGAATGTTGTAGTACAGGGGTCCGGGAATGTCCCAGCATTGCAAGCCAAATTATCCATGGTCAACATTGTTCCCTTGACTACCACGCCAGCACTTTTTGTTCTAGTGCTAGTTACTTTTGGTGTTGAGACACAGAAGTCTTTGTGTTTGCACATTTCAAAAGCTAGTGTTGGCACACAAAGCTTTAAATGGATAGTTGAAAGAATTTGAAATAAGGCTGACTGGCAAGCCAAAATTTCCCAAGTCAACATTGTTCCCTTGAATACTATGCCACCATTTTTCATTCTAGTACCCATTCATTTTGGCCATCTGTAAACACAAAGTCTTCTAGTCTCAATGTTTGCGCATTTCACAAAGCTTTAAAGGACAAGTTTGATATTTTACAATTAAAGCCCTGTTTTAAGATCGTTTCTGATGAAATAGAATGATTAAGATTGTGTTTTAGACAAATGGTGCAGTCACAAGAATTTTCGGATTCCACACCTCTACAATGGTAGCATAGGTGCACAGGAACAATCCTTCATAAAACGCATAAAACTTTAGTTTACAAAGACGTGAAATTCACCGAGTGGTCTGGGGTGTTTACTGATATGCTCACACAAAAATCGCTGCAAAAGATGCTTTCCAACAGGTTTTATGGTAGTTTTTGTACAACTCCATTGACTTGTATTGTATGTTCTGTGATGTACGGTATTACTCTGCTGCCAGAAATGGAAATGGGGTTGTTTGTATTCTTTCTGTAGTCTTATGCAGTCGCGGTATCATGGCTACACTATACAAGTGGTTTGCTTGCAATTGGCAAAGGTGCAATTTCGCCACCAACTGGGCTGGAGTGTCTATTATTCAAGCTCTCAACGGAAGAATGAACGGTCTTGAGGCGTTCGGAAAAATAGGTCGACAGTTTTACAACGAATGGTAAAACACCTGTTGGAGAGCATCTTTTGCAGTGATTTTTGTGTGAGCATATCAGTGAACACCGGTGAGTTTCACGTCTTTGTAAACTAAAGTTTTACGTGTTTTATGAAGGATTGTTCCTTTGCACCTATGCAACCATTGTGAATTTGGGGGGGTGCTACCACAGAATCCGAAAATTCTCGGGACAGCAGCATTTTTTCTAAAAAACAATCTTAATCATTCTGTTTCATCAGAAACGATCTTAAAACAGGGCTTTAGTTGTAAAATACTGAACTTGTCCTTTAAGTTGAGAGTGACCCCTTGGCTTCGCTTTTTGTTGGTTTCAGATCTATCCGTGTGCTTCCCTTCAACTTAATTTTAATGTTTATATGTGGCATATTGAACATTGTCCAGGCTTGAGCAAGATCTGAGAAGTTCTCGGACCCCAACTTTGATAGTTAATTTCCCCTGTTACTTCATAAAACGTGTAAATGTGCTCATCTAAGTTACCTAGCTAACACAACATGCTGCTGTACTGTGTGTAGGATTTAAAGGATTTCATGAGACAAGCTGGAGAGGTTACATTTGCAGATGCCCATCGGCCAAAGCTTAATGAAGGGTGAGCTGGCTATTTGTTTTTGTTTTGTTTTGTTTTTTCTCTATTGAATTCGATGAATTACATGTATGTAATGTTAAAAGGTTAAATTTTAACCTTTGTCAATTTTAACCACAGTGAAGACAAATTATGGATTGAATCTAAATTGATATTGCATTACTTTTTGAACATTTATGTAATATTTTTATCTTTCTACAGTGTGGTTGAGTTTGCCAGCCATAATGATCTAAAAAATGCCATGGAGAAGTTGTCTGGGAAAGAGATCAATGGAAGGAAAATCAAACTTGTTGAGGCGTCCAGGAAAAAGTGAGTTATTCTATTTTAATTTTTAATTTTATATATTTTTATTTTTAGCATATAATACTACTACTACTACTACTAATAATAATAATGTTTCCAATATGAAAAAAAATATATATTTAAAAAAATTATATTTTTTTATATATATATATAAATTCTTGAAAAATGGTGTGTAGATCGATTAATGAATGGATTTTTCCTCTTGCTTTCTCTTGTCCTGTAGATCCAGAACTCGGTCTCGCTCAAATAGCTCATCTCGATCTCGTTCTCGTTCACGAGGGCGTTCCGCATCACGTTCTCGTAGCCGCTCCCGATCCCACAGCCCCAAATCACATAACCACTCAAGAAGTCGGTCCCGTTCAGCCAGTCCCTCTCCTGTGCGGCCCAAGGAAGCAGCACGTGCTGAATCCGCATCCCCGCCGACCCCAGCGCCGCGCCCCCCGGCATCTCGTTCCCCGGCGTCTCGTTCCCCGTCCGTTGACAGCCGTCATTAAAAGCTGCTGCTGCACTGGGTGCTGAGGGAAGCGGCTGATGAAGTTTATCGCAGCAATATTGTCCCACCTTTGGTCAATTTAGGCCCTCTACATGCCAGTTTTCACAGCTCTGTTAAAAGGTATTTGACAGTAGAGTCCATTTAAATCAGGACTATGCTGCTATTTTTTTTTTAAAGGGGGTTAAGTTTGTCTCAAATGGGTTTTTTGTGATTGTTTTTTATCGTTACATACAGAGTGAGGTTTGATTTCTGTTGATATTCTTTAATTGTATGCATATTTATGGACAAACCAGTAAATATGATTGTTTTCAGTAAGTTTAACCCTTTGTTGTGTTCTGAAGATTTGTAATTAGGGTTTTATGAATAATGCAAATTGTTTGTAATGTAGATGCTTGAATTATAATGAAAGAAGTTAAAAAACTATCCGAGTTCCCTTCACACTGCATGAATAAAGAGATCTTGTTACACATTTGTGAATCCCTGTTTTATATACCAGCCTTTTCATATGTACACATTTGATTTCTCATTGTGTATACACATGTTAATGTTGCATTTCTTTGAACGATTCAATTTAGCTTTTTTTGCCATGCATTTTCTCATTTTCTTTTTTTTAAAGAGGATTAGATTTTAATATGCCATATTTTTGATGTGTTGTAAATAGTATCATGCTGATAAGTATTTTTTTTTATTCAGATCATTGTTGAATCAATATCCAGCTTTGTCTGGATATGTTTTGATGCATGTTTTTCATTTATTTGGAATATGAGTCACCTTTCTGTACCATGATATAAATATAAATTAAATGTGTTTGAACGTTTATAAAGTTTGCATAGCACTAAAAAAAATTTAATAAATTCCCCAAAAAGCTGTTAATGGGGTCAGTCGTTCATCTGAAAGCTCAAAAACATTACGCTTTAGACACAAATATTGTTTGTTAAAAAAGTTAACTCTACAGTATACCTTTATTGTTAACATTAAGGTATTATTGCAAGTTGAAACTTTATTTAAAAATTCACACTTGAAAGCTGTTTCAAAAAATGAAGCATCAGACTCCTGATGTCATTTGTTCTCTGCATATTTTGTTTAATGTCTTAGATATGTTTTGAATAGATTTATTAAATGCCTATGGTGATATTCAAACAAAAATATGGCAACTGAAACAGCAGTCACGTTTGTGCTGTTGTGCAACCACATACGATTGGACACTTTGAAGAAACTTTCCAGGCTGATGCTGTTGTTTTTCAAGGAGGAAGAAAAAAAGTGAACTTTCTGCTCCTTGGTGTATTTTTCATTCTTTCTTTGTAGCCCCAGCACCCTCTAGCCCCAAATTCCTCTTTCTTTTTTTTTTTTTTAACTTTTTGAAACTTGATCCTCTTTTAGGGTCTATTTGTTTCTTCAGGTACTCTTATCACAGTTGTGTACACTTTTGTTTTGTGTAAGATAAGAGAAATAGTTAATTCTAAGAGTTACAATACTTAATTTTTCATGATTTGTAAATTGTCTTTAGAAAAAATAAATAAAAAGATTGACAGATTGGTATATAGTTCGAATTACCATTCATGACAACTGATCTGTCCTCCAGAAATGTACTTCTGTAAGTTCATAAAATGATGTACCTTTTGGGGTGGTTAGGATAAAGTCTGTGCTCATTCTTGTGGTGCTAAACAGTGTTTTCCTCTTTCTTTTACCGTCTATGGTTCTCCTGCAGTTCCAGAGTAACTCATCACATGGCACTTACAGGCTCAGATGAATTATTATTTTTTTTTTTTAAATTGGGTTTTGTTTTCAGGTTTGTAATTGCTTTATTTTAGTGAAAATGCTATTATTAGCCTTTTAAATATTGTAAACAGCCGTGTCACAAATAGATTTTAAAGACATGTTTTAAATACAATTAAAATCTTTTGAAATGCATTTAACAATTTAAAATTTTAAATACGTCATAGGTGTTGAAGATGTTTTTTATTCAAATGGCACTATAGTCATACCCTAATAAAACAGACCTTTTCATAATTTAGTATGGGAGTACTTTATTTTTTTTTCTAGTATAAGTTTAAAAAGGAGCACTTTTCATCCAGGTTATGTGTGCAGGAATTGACAGCAGTGCATGTTGTGGGTTCATTTTCACAGTAAGAACACACTGTTTATTGACCTGTTTTATATATATATATATATATATATATATATATATATATATATATTAAAACTTATATAGGTTATATATATATATATATATATATATATATAGGTTAAAACTGTCCATTCAGTTCTATACTTACTAGTTTCAATTATGAAAGTTTCTAAAACCTGGACTAAAACAGTACAGCATGATATTCTGTCTTAAATTGCTTTTTCAGCTTATAAGCTCTATGGAGTCCCCTCAGATGTCACTGTCCGAGGTTCCATTCGTTTCTTCAGCTGCTCTTGCCACTGCTGTGAGCACTTGTGTCTCTGTGTAAGAAAAGAGAAAACAGTTCTTTTTAGTATTTATAATACTTAGAATAATTTTAAAATAAGCACTACATCAATCTTTAGGTTGATAAAATAGAACTCTGCCACTTTTAATACTTAGATAAAATAAATTGACACATTCTTCTCAGAAATGTACTTTTATAACAAGTTTAATGGACTTCATGTACCTTTTTGGGGTGGACTCAGCTTCTGAATGCATCTGAACAGGACTATGAAAAAAAGAGCCTCGACTATCTGGAACACAAGGTAGAGGACGGGAAAGAAATACAGCTGACCAATGAGCTCAGCAGGGAAGGCCACCTTCAGGATTGTGGAACACATCTGGATGTTCTGACAACCTACCTCCACAGAAACAGTACGTCTGCCACTGAGGACCCAAGGACACACATGAACATCACACTTGTGAAAAATGCAGTGTGACACCTTGGCCAGATACGATACAATTTCATATTCCTGGTGGACATACATACGGTGCATTCATCCTGAACACAGTGGACAGGATATATCCACATGTGAATCCAATCAATGGCATCAATGCAGCTGTGGCTGTAAGTTGAGGTGATAGCACTGTGAAAAGTTTTCCTCCATCAAATATACCAGCAAGAACACCAATGACAACACAGGAGATTAGCATCACCATCAACCCAACCTACAAGCCAAAAGGGAATAAAACAGGAGCATAGTTTAAGAATATGCTTATAATTCATATAATTTGTCTGTCATGCTGATGGCATGGAAGCAGAGGATTCATCCTTTACAATACAGCAGATTGTGTGGTCGAGCAGCAAGAATGTTGATAAAGTGATCTTGTTTGTTCACAACATGTCAGAATTACCATAATTACAAGATGACAAGTCTTTAAAAAAGAGCAAGTGTTTAAACAAGAGCTTTAAAAAAATAAATCAGAGTTTCCCATGAAGGTATACACTTGGTATCCAGGTTGGAGTCTCATAATAACTATACAACTTGTAATGATAGTTGTATCTTACGCAATATTTCTACTGTAAGACATTGTGCTTAGGCACAATGCTGAGCATTGTTCACAGTACACGGCATGATTGGACTACATTCCTAATAGCCTCATTGAATGGCGCAACGCTGAGAGACCAATATTGAAAGGGAACGTCCCCAATTACTACTGTAACCTCGGTTCCCTGAAATGAAGGAACGAGATGTTGCATCGAGATGTCCATGTTCCCCATAGAGTCATGGAATAGAACATATCGTTCCCTCTTTTCAGGCAAGCGAGGTTATGTTGATAACTAGAGGTGTTATCGTTGTAGTTATCCTTGGTGTAAATGGTTCTTAAATTATTTTATTTCAATAATACTGCATGGGATTAGGAATTTCATGTGATCGAGGACAAAAGATTTCCCCACATAATGTTCTTGTTTCTTCAACTGTTGAATACATGCATAGAGATCATTTACTAAATGAAGACAGCTGTGCTTGTCTCATCCCAAGACGTCATATAACTGACGTTTTGGGACGTCTTTTGACCATACGTCAATATTCGCCTTTTTAGGGCCCCCTTAAACATCGGTAGATGAGGTTATGGGATCCTAACTCTACCCCAGACCTAAACCTAACCCTAAACCTAACCCGTCACCTAACTGACGTTAAAGGTAAAGCGTCAGTTGACGGCCCGGGATCGCCATCTACCGACGTTTAAGGGGGCCCTAAAAAGGCGGATATTGACGTATGGTCAAAAGACGTCAGTAATATGACTTTTTGGGATGAGACTGTGTTACCATGACAACAGATAATGGAGGGACACTAGAACCAATGAAACACAGGAAACAGGTAACTAAGGAATACAAAATAAAAGTCCATGAAAATGAAACTATAACTGAACACAACTGTTACAGTGAAACTTAGCCTACTTAAAGGGATCCTCCACCATTTTTTCATATTAAACTAAGTTATTCCCGTAACTAAGACGAGTTGGTACGCACCTCTCTCGTCTCAGTGCATGCACTCAATCACTCTGGCATGCAAGACACTTTGATCGCACTTAAATTAGCCCAGTTCATTCAATAGGGGCCAAGCAGAGAAGCGACCTCCACATTTTCCCTATAGTTTTTCCCTATAATTTTCCCTATGTTTCAGTTTTTTAACACTACATAAAAGCTGGGATAAAAAAAAACAACCAACAGAACATATAAAACTGAATCAAAAAGTTAAACAAACATCTTTAAGATGTTTTCTTTACATGTGAAATAAGGAAAACAGTTACAAACCGAAACAGGAAGTGTTTCTGGACCAGTGTTGTTTACAAAATGGTCTATTTAAACACGAGTAGTGTAACTCGACCAATAATGGTGACACAAAATAAAAAATTGCACTTTTCTAAGCATGTAAAGTGTATAACTATGGCGGAATACCACAGCACACTTGCACACACTAAGACGAGAGAGGTTTGTATCAACTCGTCTTAGTTAAGGGAAATAACATAGTTTAATATGAAAACATGGTGGAGTATCCCTTTAATGTAGGGCCTTATAGGAACGTAGGATTTTGATGTGTTCATTATGTACCATATATTAATCTGGGGAACACATAGCCCTGAAACATTAGACCCTGACAACATAGGAATGACCCCATCATGGTGCTGTTTTCCAGATCAGTATGCCGGTTATTCGGACATAGGAACAATGCAATTGTGCAATACTGCACAATTGTTTGTTTTGATTTCGCATTATTACAATCTAGAAATTGTTAAAGTATACATGGATGAATTAGCGCACACCTGAATGATGATCTTAGAATATTGGGGCACTCTGTAGTTGATCAGGATCCCAATACCGCAGGCCACCAGGATCATAATCAGGGCAAAAGTGATGCCAGTGAAAGGAACATACTGCACCAAGTTTGAAAAACCCTGGCTGTACAGGTAGAGCAGGAGGGGCATCATACCCAATCCCAGTGCTGTGGAGCATGTAGTCATCACAACACTGAGAGAGAGAGAGAGAGAGAGAGAGAGAGGGGGGGGGATAGTTTAATTAATAAATAAGAAGATACTTTGTGCAACATAAGCTGCCTTTCATATCGACAGACAAACTTCTTTTTTTTTCTACTAGCACTAAAAACTATAGAATACAATTCCTGTAACTTATAATAATATATTTTATGTAACTTTTGGCCCTCTAGCAGTGTAAAAACAAGACTGCGTGCATTTTGAGGAAGAACATTGTTTCGGTTGTGCTTCAGTGCTTCAGCTCTGACTGAGCGGATGGATATGGTTTTGCCTCACCTGCAAACACAGGGAAATCCAAAAATAGAGTCATCTGAGAATGTAGGTGCAATATTTTATGCTTTTGCACAAAATTTTTAATTGGAAACAGAGGGCCAGGGGAGAATCCTCTGTTCTCCACTCCCCGCTGCTCACCCCTGGGTAATGTAGT